GGGACCGATTTCATTCTCGGTATCATTTTGCATTTGAGAACGGTCAATCAAATTAATATCATTTCCTTTTGTTTGGGAAAGAGAGACACTGGCAGCGGTCCACTCTACCCATGATTATGGGTTTTGGTAAAATATCATCTCTTTTTGATTATAATGTCAGGGTACTTTATAACGTCGAAATATAAACTGATATCTTCATTAATATTAATAAGGAGGAAGTTTCCACGATTTAGAAATTTTTCCTTTAAAAACATTTCCTTGTGTTTAGGTAAGCATATCGGTCGATCACTGACTGAATATGCCACTTTATACTCATTCAAGTTGGCATTAAATTCATATATAATGACATTAAAAAGCAGAATTTGTTGGAAATCACGAATGAGCAAAATTCTCACTTTTCGCACGTGCAAACTTTGAGCGGACGTTGCGTGCGCATCCAATATTGAATCGCCGTAAATTTTTGCGTGTAATTGTTTTATATATAGTTTGATAAGCATGCAAAGTTTCAAAGTATTTCAAGAAGAACTGTAATCACAACGGCACTCTAAAGTTGACAGAAAATGACGAAAACAGCAATTTTCAGTGATTTTAGCAATTTTCTATCAATTTGGGCGTGTCCCCACGTGTGCAACTTTTCAATTTTCAACTTTAAAACTAGCCTAATGCACAATTTATATCTATAGGAAGCAGAACTGAGCTCCACAACCCAAGGCATGGCCCAACACCAGAGAATACTAAATCGCAAAATTGACGTTTTTATAAAATAATTCTTCAAAAAAACACAAACTTCAATCACGAATATCTTTATGAAGGAGCAAGCTAGAAAAACTTTCCGGCAGATTTTCAGAATGCTTGAACAATTATCTAAGATAAAAAATTCCTCAGATTTTGAATTCAATTACTTTTTAATGGTGTAAAATCATTTTTAAAAGTTATTACTTTGTCAAAAATCAAGTTTTAAAAACGGTTAACTTGATGACGTCATCAAGGGGTGTTCATGACGTCAAATAATTTGTTTATACAATGTAAACTAAAGTGTAAACAATTATTTTCAAGACCTGTGGTCGGAAATTGCTGTATCTTTTATATTTTTGAATCTATGGACAATTAAAAACAGGCTACATTTGACTGGCAATGCGTCTATCCCTGAATATATGTATATATATATATATATATGTATGTATCACGACAATCTATCGTAAAACAGGGGTTCTAGAAAACCCATTTCCCGATGATCCTGAGACCTGAAATTTTTTTTGCAGTCGATTTGGTCAACGTCTAGACGCTCTGAAAAATTTCAGATCTCTAACTCGATTTTAACATGGTTATTAAGGCTCCTGAATATGGCGATTTTGGGTTTTTTACCGAATTTCGTATAACAGTGCTGGCGAGTATTTTATGCAAATTTCTTAAAAATCTCAACATAACTATTTTTTATTCCTGTCATCTTTGACATCAAATTAGAATGTTTTGAACTAAAACTAAATCTGCTGAACGACTTCCGATGAGTCTTAATGCCTGAAAAACTCCTGCCGGAGGCGGCGGCCTTCGGCCGCCTCCTCCGGCCGGAGTGCACGCTTCGCGTGCACGAAAGAGGCTTGTAACGTGTACCAAAGGGGGTATAATAGTAAAGGGGTTACATAGTATACCCACAATAAATGCACCGGTCGTGCTTGCCAGCACTGTGATAGAAGCTTCTCTGCCGTTTCTTTGACCGAAATTTTGAATGAATTTTAACCATGATAGTGATCAATCAGTGAATAACATAAGTCACCATCGAGGTACTGGAAGCTAAATATCTGAAGAAACCTTTATATCTGAAGAAATCTTTGATGAAAGGAAAATTATGAAAGTGTCCTACCGGTAGGACATTTTCAGATTTCAGCTTTCCTCGACCCAAATTTCACTGTTTTCACTGAATTGTTCTTGAATGACCAACCAATGAGTTCACAAGACACCATTAGGGTACTGAAAGTAAAATGACCAAAGGATATGACATGATTTGATAAACGGAAAATCATCAGAGTAGAAGGAAACATTTTGAAAGATGTTTTACTAGAAGCTTTGCGCTGCCGTTTCCTCGACGCGGGTCGGTAGGTTATAAACTAACAACGTTTAAGCGCATCTAGAATTAAGTCTTTAACAGGTTTCTATCAGAAGTTAGAAAAATTGGGCGAAAATCAGTTTTTGGGCAATAAATCCAAAATAAGGCATTTTTGGCATTTGTTGCTTCATATTTCATACGTTGTATATAATAAATGTGGACAAACACCTCCAATCTCCATACCATTTGCAAATCAAACACGAGTGCATGATTAAACTTCCTCGTAGTAGAGGCTCTTACGGGCAAAAAGACGTGTTTTCTGCTACAAGTTTAGAGACCTAACCGCTAATTGGACACAATAGTATGATGTCTAAGGATCGATAATATGTTAAGAAGTATAAATTTGGCCTTATTAGTCACGTGCTATACCAATGCGCGTTTTAAACTTTGACAGTCTATTACTCTAAGGCAAATCGAGTAATTATATTCATATTTTGTCAGCAATAAGATCACATTATTTTCTATTTAGTGTGAAAATATGAGCTAGAACGGACATAATCTCGCTGAGTTATAGCTGTTTGAAATTTATGATGAACGCGCGGGTGCCAATTGATAACAACTAAATGCTTTTGCGCGTAGTGCGCGTCGAAAATTTGGCAAAAACGCTTGCGGAGTGACAATATTCAAACTTCGATAAAGTATATGAAGTGGGTACTTCTCGGAAAGGAAAAATTTAGGCAAACACGATGTAACTATTTTTGGGTTGATTTAATACAACTGCAAAAAATTATTCAAACTTCAAGCAAAAAAAGTCAAATTTTTACCACTTTTTTTGATTTTTACCCCAAAAAAAATAGAGGAATTTTTCAAATTTTTATATCATCTTGTGCGGCTGTGTTTTAGCTATCTCCATGCAAGTTTTTCCGACATGCCAACAAAACTAACTTGTTCAAAATATCAAAAAACATGGTTTTTTGGCCTATTTTTTGCCCAAAAATCGGTTTTTTGCAATTTTACCCCCAAAAAGTCAGTCCAATCATCTTAAAACTACTTTTAATCGATTCTACGGTCAAAAATACGTCTAGTAAGGTGTATCTGGGGTCCCTAGCGTATCGAGCAGACAATGCCCGTAAGAGCCTCTACTATCGGGCAGTATCCAGCCATTTTACAGTTGATGGGGCAGTACTTTCAGGACTACTACCTCTCCGTCAACGACATATTCGACAACCAACATATTACCACTATTGTCAACTTACACCAAACGCTTAATGATGCCAGATTAGTAGTTTTTACCGGATCCTTCTCACAACCCCTATACTAGACACATTAAATGACAACTCTCGTGACTGACGTGAAAACGTTCATGATCTCTAAACATATACTACGTGACACGATCCGTGAGAGTCAAGGCCCGTCTGTTCCGACCCTCATGCTATCCTTTCGTGGGCCACCAGTATGGCGGCCGAGACATGATATTGGCTCACCTAAATTTTCACTGAAAATTTTGAATTAAAAAATTAACTATACAATTAATCACAAAATAAAAACGATTTTGAATTTAATTTGTAACATGATTTTAAAATTTAAATAAAAAACGATTTTCATATCGAAATTGAAAACGATTCTCATTTTGAAAACGATTTTGAGTTTGATTTTGATTTCAATTTTGATTTCAATTTTGATTTCAATTTTGATATTGATTTTGATTTTGATTTTGATTTTGAAAACGATATTGATTTTGATTTTGAAAACGATATTGATTTTGATTTTAATATTTAAAAACGATATTGGTTTTGATTTTAAAAACGATATTGATTTTGATTTTTAAAACGACATTGATTTTGATTTTGAAAACGATATTGATTTTGATTTCGAAAACGATATTGATTTTGATTTTGAAAACCATTTTGATTTTGATTGTTGATTTTGAAAACCATTTTGATTTTGAAAATGATTTTTTTTGCCCGTGGCGGCCGAGATGGCTCACCGGCCGAAATGGCTCAGCTAGCTAATTAGCTGTATGGGATTTATGTTCCGGGGCATTTGGAAAACGGTTTAGGGGTTTAAATTGTAGCGCGACGCGTTACTGTCTCTAGCTTAGAAGTAGATCGGCGTTGCTGTCTCTAGATCGGCGAGATGCGCTAAGCTGTGCCGCACCGAGCTGAGATGAATTGACATCGTCAATTAAGGGTTTAAATAGTTAGTACCTGTCCCAAACCATCAGAAAAAAAATCAAGTTTCGACCTCCCAACCCACTCAGGCCACTCCCAGGGGCCACGCCCATCCCAAAATAGCTGAAATCCAGGTCAAATCAAGATTGAAAATCTTTACCCCTGTAGGGGATTTATGTTCCAAGGTATTTGGAACAGGTTTAGGGGTTTGAATAGTTAGTACCTGTCCAAAACCATCAGAAAAATCAAGTTTCGACCTCCCAACCCACTCAGGCCACTCCCAGGTGCCACGCCCATCCCAAAATAGCTGAAATCCAGGTCAAATCAAGATTGAAAATTTTTACCCCTGTAGGGGATTTATATGTTCCGGGGTATTTGGAACAGGTTTAGGGGTTTGAATAGTTATTACCTGTCCCAAACCACCAGAAAAATCAAGTTTCGACCTCCCAACCCACTCAGGCCACTCCCAGGGGCCACGCCCATTCCAAAATAGCCGAAATCCAGGTCAAATCCCATACAAGTCCAGACTGAGAATCTTTACCCCTGTATGATATTTACGTTCCCGGGTAGGTGGCACAAGTTTTGGTGGTTAAGTAACTAGTAACTGTCGTAAAGTTACAGGTCCATAATATGAAACACGGTGGTGGTATAATACCCAACGTATGTAATATTACTTTTGCCCTACCCCCCCCCCCCCCCCCCCCCCCCCCTGTAGCTTTTATGGGTTATCCGTGGCCCTTAGGGGCGGCCTGAGTGGGTCAAGATGTCAAAACTAGGTTTTAATGATGGTTTACGGTCAGCATCTCTTTAGAGACCTTTTCTATTATCACCTCGACAACTTCACCTCTCAGATCGATCCGACTGAATTTGAAGCTGTTTTCACCAACTACTGGTTGAGTGGGTATGTGGGGATTAAATTAGGACTACCACAAGTACATGTTCATCATTCTTTGGGAATCCTGAAGTTCCAGTCGGAACAGATAACAGAAATTGGTGAAAAAAGAATGGTGGTGGAGCGGAAGATTAACAAAAAAGCATCATGCATAGTTCATCAACTTAGAAATGAACAAGGGCTAACCAATGCAACAAAAGCAATTCACATTACTCCAGGCATTGAGCTCGAGAAGTTCAAACATCTAGACGAGGAACATTCCAGAAATAAGTTAAACTTTTCTTCCAGCGTTATGAACGTTCTATACGTTGGGAGATTTTCTCCGGGGAAAGGAATAAAGTTTGCACTCGAGGCACTCAGTAAAACAAATATACCGCTCACTTTTCGCCTTATCGGAGAATACGAGATGTCTCCCTCAGAGCACCTTCTACAAGAGTACCCCCAGTTCAACTACCTTGGGGCAAAGCGAATGAGTGAGTTAGTTGAGTATATGGCAGCCTCGGATATAATGGTGGTCCCCTCGCTGTATGAGGCATTTGGACTGGTGGTTATTGAGGGAATGGCGGCAGGTTGCTGCATGATCGTTTCTGCGGTAGGGGGACCTGATGAGCTTATTGAAAACGGTGTGAATGGACCTTCAGGAGACGCAGGAGCTATTCTGGAAGCGTTTGAGAAGTTAGCGGGAAATAAAAAGCTGATTAGTGAGATTGGGAAGACAAACAGGGAGATCGGGCTACGGAACAGCTGGGAGAAAACTGCGGAAAAGTTAAGTCACGTGATTTTAGAAATCACCACAAGGAGAAGAAGCGTGCTCCAAAAATTATACGCTGATTTTTCCATTTCACAATTTTGGAAAAATGTGAAAGGTTACGAATGGTCGTTTTTGCAGAAAAACGTGGATTTTGGAAACCGCGGCTCGCGCGGTAGGTAGGTCTGAAAGTGAATATATGTCGTGTTCCTTCCTTCTTTCCTTCCTTCCTTACTTCCGTCCGTTACTATGCATATGTCAACTTCCAAAAATTGAAAAAACTGCCGAGTTATGGCAACAAAAAATCTACGTAAAATAACAAATATTATAGAACTTTTCAATTTTTCAATAATTTCTCATGAAGCTAAAAAAAATAATTTTTGCAGCCATCCTTATAGTTATAGACTAATAAACTAACAGAGTCTTAAATTTCAGGCTGATTGCTTACAATATGTATTTTTCCGAGCGATAAAACTACATTTAACAAAATACTGCGAAATATCTCGTCGAAAAAGTATAAAAGCGCATTTGAATTTTGCGCCTCATAGTCATAATGCACCTCCTATATATTTGTACGTGGCACGCGTAGTGTACTGATATGTGTATAACTATAAAACATGAGTAATTTGTAATTTGTAATTTGTAAAGTTCGTAGATTCCTCTACAGGGTCATCGAATAGTTCGACCGCCCTTGTTTTACAGTACACTACATTGTAGATGTTCTGAAGGAGTATCCTAAGATTCTTGATCTTTTTGGCACAGGCACCCCTCCTCATTTAACCCTCAATCAAGTTTCCTATCATTCGGCTGAGTCGACCGATGAGATCGCATAGATCCAATGAATCCTTAGCTACTCCCTAGACTGGGTGACACTGGGATTCGAACCCTTAACCTTCTGTACAGAAAGCGGAAGCTCTAACCACTAGGCCACCCAGCCATTATAGTTGAAGTTTACTTTTGCTTACAATTTCTTGAATTACAGATACAATTGTTAAGTTTTACTTCTACAGCAATTGAATTGAATTTCAAGTGTTTCCCGTATTAATAAAGCATTATTTATTAATATTATTATTATGAAGTAAGCTGATTAGAGCTTATATTGTACTTATAGTTATACTTATAGTGAATGGAAATCTAGCGTCTGCCAAAACGAAACAACGGGCGCAATTCTTATCAATATCATCTGTATCTTAAAAGTTCAAACTGAATACAATAAAAGCCCGATTTACTAATACTGCAGAGTTTGGGGAAAAGAAATACCCGCGGTAAACTGGAGTTTATGGTAAATTGGGATTTTGTTTGTTTATATTATACTTACTTTTTTTTACTTTGGGCGATCCTCAATCGAAATCCCATTCACTGTCTGCCTCCACACGTCTCGATCGCACATAACAGTTCGAAGGTCGTCTAACTGGAGCCCAGTGTCACGAGCTACTACGTCCAGGAAGGTGAGTGGTCTCCTTCCACGGCCCGATTGGGCAAGTCGCCAGGGGAGGATAGTGGAGATAACTTGGTCAGAAGCTCTCATGCAATGCCCAGCAAATCTGGAACGCCTCGACGCAACCACTGAGGCAATAGATGGAAGGTTGCCATAGATCTGCTTGAGGGTTGGATGCTTCTTCCACGAGATGTTCTTGGCCTTCATTAAAAGACGGGTGTAGCATCCGTTGAGGCGTTTCTCAAGCTGCTTGTTTATGGTCCATGTCTCTGATCCATAGAGCAATACTGGTTCGACACAGGCTCTAAAGAACTTGACTTTCAGTTGTTCGGAAATGCCAGAGGACCAGACTTTTTGCAGTTTAATACAGGCTGACCAGGCCATTCCTTTCCTTGAGTTGAAATCCTTTCTACTGTCCGCAATGAAAGAGCCGAGGTATTTAAAGTCATCAACCTGTTTAATCTGGCGGCCTGAGATAGAATGTAAGTCGACAGTGTCAGGGATATTGATGGTCATGAACTCGGTCTTAGAAGCATTCATAGCAAGACCAACTTGTGCGGCTGCATTTTCAAGGTCTGTCAGCAGAAGTTGGACTTGCTCTATGGTGTCTGAAATTAAGGCCAAATCATCAGCAAAGTCAAGGTCTGTGATTTTGACCGCAGGCACTCTTCGGCTTTTCCTAGGCACGATGGTAAGACCGAATTCGTCACCCATGCAGCTTCTGAGGACATAGTCAAGGACGATGATGAAGAGAAAGGGTGCTAGAGTGTCCCCTTGAAGAACTCCAATAAGTGTCCTAAAAAAGTCAGTAAGGCCGTCGATGGTCTGGACACGAGAGAACGATGAGTCATAAAGAAGCCTGATAGCATCTACAAGTGGAGTAGGGATACCGTAGAGGGAGAGGATGTGGAAAAGGGCATCCCGGTTAATGCTGTCGAACGCTTTTTATATTATAAAACTTTATATATAGAGATACTGAACTTTAGGATTCACATAATTCTAAAATATATAGAAGAAATTAATTTCATAACGTTATAATTGTATTTGCTTTCTTTATCACAATGCTGGCAAGCATAACCGTTGCCCTTATATTCACAACACTATGTACCCCCTATACTATTATATCCCCTTTATTGTTTTCCAGGCATTAAGACTCATCGAAAGTAGTTCAGCAGGTATATTTAAGTTCAAAACATTCTAATTCAATGTTAACGATGACAGGAATAAGAAATAGTTATGTGGAGGTTTTTAAGAAATTTGCGCAAAATACGCGCCAGCATGTTATACGAAATTAGGTAAAAAACCCAAAATCGCCATATTCAGGTGCCTTAAAAACCATGTTAATATCGAGTTAGAGATCTGAAACTTTGCAGAGCGTCTAGACCTTGTCCAAATCGACCGTAATAAAAATTTCATGTTGCAGGAGTATCGGGAAGTGGGTTTTCTGGAACCCCTGTTTTACAACAGATTGTCGTGAAGCTAGAGCCGTGAGCCGGCTAGCCGACGGCAATCGGCTGGCTAAGAGAAAAAATCGGCTGGCTAGCCGGCTAAGCCGGCTAAAACTAGGAATGGGATTACCAGATCCTAATGTCAGATATTGTACCAAACATTTTTATTTTGCTAATATTACTATTTTGTATTAAAATTGATTGGCTTATACTTTATGTTTCTTTATACTTTATGTCGATTTTAAGGGCAAAACTTGAAATGGAAGGTAACAAGTGATACACCTTACTCGGGATTATTATGACCGGGATAAAGTGGTGGGTTTAGGGTAATTTCGCCATATTTTTCCCGAACCACATTTTCACCGGTCGTTAATAAACCCGCCTACTCAGCTTTTAGGGTTCCCAAGGGGTATGGGTGCTCATATTTTAATCGTTGTCTTATATTCACTAAAGAAGACTATTGGGACACTTGTTGTAGGTTTTTCGACTTCATTTGGCTAAAATTGCAAAAAATTCACCTTTTTGCCCAATTCTTGTCATATATCCTTATTGTCAAATTTGATTTAAATAGGCCAATTTTTAATTTCTTAGGTATTGACTATCCTACATAATGAAATAAGACTCAAAGTAAAAGTAACAGTTAAATTAAAACTTGAATTAATTAAAACTGATGAAAGGGATGATCCAGATGAAGATAACGAAGATGATTACAACTTATTGGAAGACTAAACTGAAACAGCTCTCCCTTTATCTTAATATCGATCTGGTTGTTACGCTTCAAATGTTAAAAATTATTTTCCATCTAGTTTGATTAACCACGAGTCATTATTTCTGTCTACTTTCAACAATTATTGATAATTCGACTTGTTTCACAAGTTTTAGCAATGCGAAAATTTCTAAACTTGCTTCTCTCTAATAAGGAAATTTACATCTGAGACAAAATTTTTGAATCTAAAATTGAAAGGTTGGACACTGGTAAAATGGCGACCGGGAAAATGTGGTGGGTTTTGTTGAGCAATTTCGCCATATTTTTCCCGAACCATATTTTAACCGGTCGTTAATAAACCCGTCGTAATAATCCCGAGTAAGGCAATTTCATAATTCATAACTTCAATAATAATAAGTTAGTTAATAATAAGTTAGGAAATTCTCACTGGTCAGAGTCAATCTCTAATTTACTTATAAAAGTTTAAAAAATATCTCTGTTACGATTAATCTTACTATATATAAAGCGAGACGATATATATATATATATATCCAACCGTGTGTATGACGTGTCCCAGTAGCCAATCATAATATATATATATATATATCTGTGCCATTTTACTGACACCACGGCATCGACTTTAACGCAACTTTCTGCAAAAACCGTAAAAGATATACAACTGAAACTTTTTTGGCTGGGTCAAATGCTTTAATATCCTCCAAATCAGCATGAAAAAATAAAAAATTGGCCGAGGAATAATGATTTTAGAGCCGAAAATTTGGACCCCCAAGTGGTGTCAAAAACGCCAATTAAATAAGTAATAATTATTTCAGTATCTTGAGTCTTGACACCGTTTAGGGTTATATTTCACGGGTTCCTGCTAGGGAATGGCTTTTAAATTGTCTGATGAGATCTTTGATCTCCTCTTGTTTACAGTCAGCCCTGCTGCTGACCATGTTCTTTCCACATCAGCAGCGGATGCAGGAACCGAAAATATAGCGCATGCTAATTTTGAAAGAAGGGGCAATGTATCACTACGACATTTCCAATATCTAAGAGTGTCCATCTTGGACAGAAAGTTTTTGAGTACATAGTACAATACAATTTAATTTGCGCACGTACGTACTTTTTCTGAAATTTATGAAATTTATCTCTAAAGTCGATCATGGTATAATTTGTTACATGCCGTCTAGATTCCCGGCCTGAAGTATAGATAAGTGATAACTGCTGAAAATGTGTTAGCCGATCGGCTAGCCGATGGCAATCGGCTGGCTAAGCCGGCAATTTCGATCGGCTGGCTAAGCCGGCTTAGCCGGCTAGCTCACGCCTCTACGTGAAGCTATATATATATATATGTATAGACGCTTTTGCAGTAAATTGTAGCCTACATTTAAGTGTCCGTAGATTCAAAAGTATAAAAGATACAGTCATTTCGAACCACAGGTTTTAAAGATAATTGTTTATACTTTAGTTTACATTATATCGAAAAATAATTTATCGTCATCATCATCACTTGATGACGTCATCAATTTAAGTGTTTTTAAAACTTGATTTTTGACAAAATAACAACTTTTCAAATCGATTTTAAAGCATTAAGGAGTAATTTTATTCAAAATCTGAGGACATTTTCACCTTAGATAATTGTTCAAGCATTCTGAAAATCTACCGGAAAGTTTTCCTACCTTGCTCCTTCATAAAGATATTCGCTATTGAGGTTTGTGCTTTTTTGAAGAATAATTTTATAAAAACACAAAAGTTGTGAATTAGTATTCTCTGGTGTTGGGCCATCCCTTGGATTGTGGAGCTCAATTTTGCTTCCTAAAGGTCTAAATTGTGTTATAGGCTAGT